TCACAAAACAACTTCATAAGAGGTTCTGATTCTAGCTTTAGTTGTTCAAGAACTCTTTTTAGCCACTTAGCCACATCATCTTACATACTTCATTAACCATAGCTCGAAATTTTACCTTTACATTGCTTAGGGCAACAATATTTTGCTTTTTACTCTTCTGAGTGACTAGATTACCCAAAAAAATGTACAACAACACAAAGTTGATCTTCTACTAGTGATTATGCCTACCCAATCTGTATCTATGAAACTTTCACATTTTTTATATGATTTTTCTTGAACAAAAATCCTTTTCTGGGTGTATTCTTAAGATATCTGAAAATTTTTTGTACTGTCTTAAAATGTTCTTCAAATGGTGAATGCATAAATTGGCTTACAACATTGACTATGAATGTCTAGCCTTGTGTAGGAAAGATATATTAGTTTTTCTACAAGATGTTGGTACCTTCTTTTTTCAACAACACTCTCTCAATCTTTCTTTTTAACTTTTGGTTCGAGTCTATTAGTGTATCATTTGGCCTACAACCACTAATTCCAATCTTTTTTAGCAAGTTTAAGATGTACTTCCTTTATGGTACAACAATTCCCTTTTATGATCTAACAACTTCCATTTCTCAAAAGCACCGTAATGGTGCCAAATCTTTGATCTCAAATTTTATTGCAAGGCATATCTTTAATCTAGCTATCTCAACTTCATCACTTTGTATAAAGATTATGTCATCTACATAGACAATCAAAATTGCAATCTTCCTACCATTAGTATGTTTCATGAACATTGTATGATTTGTTGTCCTTGACTATAGCCTTGATTCTTGACTGACCTTGTAAATCGCTTAAACTATGTCCTTAGAGATTATTTTAAATCTTATAAGGACTTTTTAAACTTTCATACTTTAGACTAAAATTGTCTTCAAATCTTGGTGGAGCATCCATAAAGACCTTTTATTCTAAGTTACCATTAACAAGCACATTCTTAACATCTAATTGTTGTAATAACTATTCCAAGTTCACAACCATGGACAAAAGCACATACATTATATTTAATTTTGCAACTGGAGTAAACATTTTTGAGTAATCAATTCGATATGTCTATGTAAAACCTTTAGCTACCAACCTTACTTTGTAATACTTTAAAGTCCTAATTGATTTGGATTTTACTATGAACACTCATTTACATCCCATAGGCATCTTTTCTTTCGGCAAACTAAACTTTTTCCATGTGTCATTCTTCTCTAAAGCCTTCACCTTCTCAAAGATAACCTCCCTCTATTCAGAAACAATTAGAGCCTCCTATATATTCTTTGGAATATCCAAACTAGATAACTGTGAGGTAAAAACAAATAATAAGGGTGATAGATTTTTATGACACATACTTGGAAATTGAATGCTTAATACTTGTTTTATCACATTTCTTAAGAGCAATCACAATATCTACAGAATTAAGAATGTTAATTTTTGAAAGATCAAATTCATAAGAGCTACTTGGACTTGACAAAACTATATTATTTGAATATGGCTTCGTATTACATGTTTGGCTTTGTAAGGTTGTGATGTCATTTTTTTTTAATTTGATTTTTTCTTAAATAGACAATAAGTTTAAAACCTTTATTTAGTTCTTGAATTATTCTCTATTCTATTTTCTATTTCATTTTTAGGTAATTAAGTAGGTTATCGCATTTCCATATTTGAAACTCTAAAATCTAAACTCATTAAAGTATTTTGTTGTAGGACAAAATTTGTGTTTTTACCTTCAAATTCAAACAATAAGTCTTCATAACTATTCTATCTCTGAAGAAGAGTGTCAAATAAACTTTAAGATTAAAAAAAAAATTACATTTATAATTATAAAGAACTTTTTTGTTTAAGGATGAAAATAATGATACCCTTGTTGTGTTAAACAGTATTCAAGAGAAATACGTTTTATAGCTTGGTGGTCAAATTTACAGAGATTATGGTCATGCATATACATGAAAGCAACAATTTCAAATACTTTAAGAGATAAATCAAATAATAAACGTGACATTGGAAAACTTTTTTTAAATATTTTTAATGGTGTTTGAAAGTTTAAAACTCTTGATGGCATTCTGTTAAACAAGTAAGTAGCAGTAAAAGTAGCTTCCCCCATAAATATTTAGGTACTCTATTTATAAATATTAAAGACCTAGCTACTTCTAAAATATGTTTATTTATTCTTTTTTGCTACTTCATTCTGTTATGGAGTGTCAATAGAAGAGCTTTGATGAATAATCCTTTTTTCTAAAAACTATGTTCTAAGAATTTGATTAAAGTATTCCTTCTTATTTTCCAAAAACACTTAAAATTTTTTCTTGAAATTGTCTTTCAACCATATTATAAAAAGTTTTGAAAACATGTTAAACATTTTATTTTTCTTTGAGTAAATAACTTAATAAATCCTTGTATGATCATTAATTAATGTTAGAAACCATCTTTTTCTAAAAGTTCTTGTTATTTTACATGGATCCCAGACATCATTACGAAAAAGAGCAAATGGCTTAGAAGACTTATAATGCTAAATAAGAAATGTGCATGATGATGCTTAACAATTTGACAAATATCACATTGATAGATTTTTATTCTTAAATAAATCTAGAAAAAAGTACCTTAAATAATGAAAGTTAGGATGACTTAACCTAAGATGCCACAACATTATGTCATTGTTACTAGAGACAGAGATTGGCCAAAGAGAAGTCATTTGAGTTTTTCCACACATGGTACTTCCATCTTAAAAATAATATAGTCTATCACTTTCCTTAGTACTGCCAATCATTTTTCTGGAGTCCAATTCTTGAAATTCATATTGGGTTGAGAAGAATTTAGCACAACATTTTAAATCATGAGTTAATTTGCTAATAGATAGCAAATTACAATATAGGTTTGGAACATGGAAATCATTATGAAAAATAAGAGTTTTTAAAATAGCTATTGATCCTTTTCCAACAATTGCCAAAAGGGAACCATAGACAATTTTAGTTTTTTTATTTTCAGCACATGAGCTATAAGAAGAAAATAATTTAAAACTACCTATCATATGATCTGTTGCACCAAAATCAATGATCCATGGACAACTAGTAATGGAGGACACATCAAAAGTAATAACTTGAAGATGATTACCTTTTTAAGCTAAAGTATAAGAGGAAGACACATTCTTTAAGAATTGTGGATTGAAATAGTTTATACAGTTAGTCTAATTGTTCCTTACTAAAAAAAAATACCTTTGTGATTCCTCTGGAACCATTCAGATTAACTTGCTCATCGACACCTATTTGAAATGCTTTTGACTCACAATTAGAAGATATTGATTCACATGCTTTGATATCATGTGAACAAAACAAATGAATAAGAGAAGATAACTTCTTATTGATTAATATAAAAGTTATAAAGATTTAAATAGACTAGAATTTAAATTTTAAAATTTAACTCCTTTTTTACTTGAGCATAATTCTAGAAACTAAATAACAACCTAATTACCTAAAAATAAAAATATGTAACTATTTAACAATTTATATTTTTTAACAAAAAATCATGATATTTCTACATTAGATATATTTTAAATATTAAATTTAAAATAATATTTTTATATTTTATGGTAATATAATTTTTTAGTTAATTTTTTATTTTTAATAGAAAATAGATTTTCAAAAGTAAAATTAAGTGAAACATTTTAAAATCTTTTTTTAAAAACTTTCGTATCATTTTAAAAAATCTATTTCATATCAAAACATTTTACTAATAAATCATAATAAAAAATTATTGTCTACCGAAAAATCTATTTTCTATCAAAAATATTAAATATCTTTTCCTTTTTCCCTTTCAAATTTATTTTATAAAAAAAGGAAAACAAAAAGAAAAATAAAAATAATTAAAGAAAATTTTAATTTTTTATATTTTAAAATATTACAATTTAAAATAATATTTTATTTTCATTATGAGATGATTTATCAATAATATTTTAAAAGAAAATAAATTTTTGAAAAATTAAAATTAAGTTAAAAATTTAAAAATCCTTTTTAAAAAAATGTCCTTATCATGTTTAAAAATTAAGTAAAAGTGTTTATATCAATTTAAAGAATTAAATAAAAAATTAATATTGCTTAAAAATATTAAGTACAATTTTCATATTATTTTAAAAAATAGATTTATTAATCTTCTTTTTATAGAAAAAAAATCAATTTTGAATTTATTTTCAATTAAAAAATCTCTATTTATATAAAACAAAAAATATTATTTTGAATTATTTGATTTGTTCCCCTTACCGGATTGACGAAGGTACGAGCAGTTATAATTTTTTTTTCATTTATTATAAATATAAAATTTAAATAAAGAATATATTTAAAATTGGTTAATAAAGAATAGATCTATAAAATTTGTTATAAATAGATTAATAAATTGATCTATAAAATTTGTTATAAATAGATTAATAAATTGATTTTCTTAAATGATATGAAAATTTTTATTTAATATTTTAAAATGATATTGAGTTTTTTATTTACTTTTGAAAATCATTATAAAAATTTTTACTTAATTTTTTAAAATGATATGGATTTTTTCAAAAAGATTTTGAAAATTTTAACTTAATTCTAATTTCTTAAATTTTATTTTTTATTGAAAACAAAAGGCATTTAACTAATTAATTGTATTAATATAAAGAACAGAAAATATTTTTCTAAATTTAATATTTTATAAAATATATCTTAAACATAAAAACTTTGAAATTGTGTTATATTTAATTTTTAAACTTTGAGCCAAATTTTAGATTAATCCCTCCGTGTGTTGTGAAAAAACTAGTTGATGCTATTCATATAAAATCAGTTGATATTTATTATCAATTTAAAAAATGTCGTAGACAAAAAAATAAAAATAATATTATTTGGAAAATTAAGATCTAATTAAAATTTAAAAAAAAAAAGAAACTAAAAGAAAATTTAGTTAAAAAAGCTTAGGAACCCGGCTCTTATTAATCTATGTATATAAAACCGTCATAATGACTCGTAAGCATCTTCCCAAACCGGTGGCAAACCACCGCAAACAAAAACCGCCCGTGCAATCAAAATTTCCTTTTTAGCGTGCTTCTCACGCGCATAAGCCCTAGATACTGTAGATTTTTTATCAATTAGATCGAAATTGGGCATAATCTTTTTTCAGCAAAGCATAAAAAATGGTGAAAGTGGTAAGGAGATGCATATAATCAATATTGAAGCTGGTGGATTCAGTTATAGGAAAGGTTGGTATGGCTATGATTCTGTACGCAATTTGGTTAATTAGGGCTTGGCAAAGAGAAATTGGGGATTGGCCTTTTGAAGGCTCTGATTATGCAGCTCCATGGTATGTTTCTCTTTCTTGGGGTTAATGGGGAAGCCTGGGATTTTGGAAAGGCAAAATTTTGGGTTTTCCTAAGGAATGTGTTTTGTATTTGACTTGATGAATGTTTGGTTGTTTGCTTTGTTTTTGAATTATTACTTGTTTCCATTTTCTGTTTGGTTGATGGGAAAATGAATGTAAGTAAAAAATATAAACAGAAACTTTTAGTTATTCAGTTAGTTTTCTTTTAATTCTCTCTTGTTTTGGACAGACCACAATTGGATTTTACTGCTAAAAAGAAACTACATTCGTTTGGGTGAATTGCAGGTTTATCCACACTGTCCTTGGCCTTGGTGTTACTTTGTGTGTGATCACATGTTCTGGGCATGTTTCTGCTGAAACTGCAAATGGCTATTGCCTTTATTTCGTATCCTCTTTCTTGAGTCAGTTAAACTAGATATCACTGTCCCCTTCTTATCATCAATCTTACTGAAATTTTGTTCTAAAAATCAATATTATTGCGGAGTGTTTTATTCAGGGCATACAGTTACTTATTATTGTATCTAACTATCCCTTCTCAATGTTTTTGTTATTTGCTACTACGGATAGTGAATCTGTTGTACTGTTTCACAAACTCAAATCACAAGTTAATGGGATGGTAAGTTTGTTGTTGACCTTAAATGCAATTAGTATATGGCATTCATCTTTTTGCTTCTTATGCTGGAGGCTGCAGTGACCACTTATGTATTACTGGGAAGTGTTGTGTCACACATACAGGAGAAATTATCTAATCCACTGTCGGTGGAGTTTTTACACGTCACAAGTAGGGTTAGTAGGGTAACGAATAGGAGTACCTTTTAAGGGTATATTAAAAAAGAGTTAATTAAAAAAATTAAACATTTGGTATTTTTTTAATTTCACTTGTGGACTTAAAAAATTGCACTGTCACTATATTAAAAAATAGCTCGACATACTAAAGCTTATAATTTTATAACTTTTACACGTCTTACAAAGGTACTGCTTACTACATACGTACACAACACTTAATGTGGTTTATATGCTAATTTTATACCAGGAATTTCCAGTGGATCCAAGTGGGGGTTTTAACAGGTTTAAAGATTTCGTCAGGTCAAACTTTGAATTTTGCAAGTGGATAGGCTTGTCTATCATGTCTGTACAGGTATGTCTCTTTCTTGGAATCAAAGCGATGGTAAATATACACTGCAGTTCACCTATAACTAAAGTGACATTAGTATGTTGGGTTGCAGGGTTTAAATATGCTGTTTGGTTATTGCCTTGCAAATGATTTGAAATGTCTATAATTGGCCTGTATGTCACATAGACAATTAACGTGTTACTCCAAGAGTGTTCTTAACTTTATCGATGCTGTTTCACTGATAGAAGCAATTTCCTAAATGCTTTTTGTTAAGTTGGAAAATGAGTCGGAATCGTATGCTTCGGGTGCAGTTGAGGGTTTATATTTTCATGGTTTGTTTTCTTCTGTGCAGTATTGTTTTCAAAGCCTCCCTCCCTCTTGCCTCTTTCTTATTTCCCGTTGCTACTTACTGCTTTGCACCTAAGTATCAATATTTATGTTGGGGTAATCACTTAAATTTTTTATAATTTTTATTTTGATTATTAATTATAAAAAGGTAGTGATTTAATTACTCGCATTAATAATATTATATATTTTTTGTCAAACTTAAGAGCAAACAAAATAATGATATGGCTGGACACATTAACAAACTTTAGCACTTGGCATTCTCATGTCAGCTCATAATTGACATTACAACTTTGATTAATATATACATAATGTATAAACCCAAATTATAAAATGATTTTTCTTTTAACTTTCTTTTTTTTTTCTTCTTTCATTAGCACATCTTCCTCTCTCTTTCTACCCCTTTCTTCAATTAAACCAGCCACCACCAAATCCAAATTCCCTAAGGTCACTTTAGCTGCCACCCGGAAAGAATAAAAAAAAAAGAATAATTTGTTCTGTAGTCGTAATAGATTTTGTTATATTTGAAAGTGAAAACTTGTTTGAGTTTCTTGTTTGGGTTCTTATTTACTTGGGTTTGGGCATTGCTTCTAGGTTCTACTTCTTTGCTTACTTTTTCTTTTCTTTCTCACTCACGTTGCTTATGCGGTTTCTATTGATTTATGGCTGCTTTTTTGGTTTTTAACCTTGATATTAGTTGATTGAGTTGTTGAATTAGTCGAAGAGGTGTTTGATTTCTTGTTGCTTTTTCAAGTAATTGAGTTGTAGAACAATATATATTAAAATAATTTTACAATTAGGCTAGAGAAGGGAAGAGGGGCTAGTGAAAGAAAAAAAATCATTTTACTATTAGGGGACATTTGGTTAAGGGGAATCCACATTTTTTTTTTCGAAATCTTGATGGTGAGTATTTGATTCCCACGTTTGGTTCAAGATAATCCAATTACAGGAGAAAATGACAGATTCTCAACAATACCCAAAGTCCTAGAATCACAAACCCACCTCTTCCTATGGTATTCTAAGATTCCTAAAAAAAACGTTTACGTTATTTTCAAATTTGACATGAATAAAAAATTATGAAATAGACGTTACCCTTTTAAAAAGTATTTCTAGAAATAACTACAACTCAGTTGTAGATTTTTGCTACTAAAAAAAAAATTATTGCAATTAATGGCATTTGGCATGAAGAAACGCCTTAAATAATTCATCATTTAAGGCATTTGGGTTGAATAAACGCAATAAATGATGATCATTTAAAGTGTTTTCCCCTCAAAAACACTTTAAATGATCATCAAATATGGCGTTTTCTTCTTTAAACACCCCAAATAATCCTTATGTAAATTATTTAAGGCGTTTTCCTAACTGAAACACCTTGATTGATAATTTAAATCTTTTTATTTTCATAGATAAGAGTGTTATGACATGATCATCTTTTAGACACGTCTATAAACAAATAATTAAGGCATTTGTATGGAAAAACTCCTTAATTGATTATCAATTGAGGCGTTTCTTCTTACAACTACCTTAATTGCCCCATATTAAATTTTTTCCCTCTTGATGATTGTGTTCTAACAATATGAACATTCTAACATCTAATCATGAAGCAGAAGAGCTTATAATTTATATATATATATATATCAAATATGGTGTTTATATATATTGAACGCCTTATTTGATGTCTTCATCATATTTAAATAACTAATACGTTTCTAATTTATATTTCAACAGATCTTAGCTTATAGCATTTACTTTTCTCTTTGAAAAAATTTCAACTTCCTCATCCATCATTTAATCTTTATCCTGTTAAGTTTGTCTTTGTTTTTTATACAAAACGGTGTGAATGCTTTCTTATTTATATTGTATAATTGATGTTGCCTTCTAATGAACTTATTTTTCATTTTTTTAGATGTCGTTTAGATTTGGATTTATGTTTTTGATATAAACGCCTTGTTTTGTAGTTAATTTGTTTTAACTCCTTCTACTCTTTCAATGTTTTGTTTGTGATTTATATTTTATTTGATGATGTTTGATAGATTCCATTTACCATATGCCAAGATTTACTTTTCATTATGTTTTTGAACTTTAACGATATTCTATCTTCTAAATAGTTATGACTAGTTTACCATTAAGAAAGAAAATGCAATTGGTTACATTGCTTATAATGCACTTGAACCATATGGAGATTTTGTTGCATATGTTATATTTTGTTGCTATAACTTTATTAAATATTAACGTAGAAAAACGACGTAAACTATCTTATGATGGAACATCTTATGATACTCTACGTATTATAGAGTGAAACTTAAATGTAATGATCTTTGATACGATATAGTGTTTAGATAATACTAGAATGGATAAAAAAGTTTTTACAAAATTATGTTATTTGTTTAAAACAGAAGATGGATTATAATCATCTAGACATACATCAATAAAAGAACTAATAATTATTTTTGTCCACATCATTGTTTATCAAACAAAAAATAAGGGTTATGAAGCTTTAAGTGGTCAAATTTAGAGAGATGATTAGTAGACAATTCCATTCTGTGTTGAATTCTATTTTAAAATTGCATATGCTGTTGTTTAAACAACCCAAACCCGTACCGAACAATTCAACAAATATTAGATAAAAATAGTTCAAGGGTTGTTTATGTGTCTTAGATAAGACATACATCATAGTCAATATAGACGCAATTGACAGGTCTAGATACAGGATTACGAAAAATGAAATTGCTACCAATGTCCTTAGTGTTTACACTCTAAATATGTAATTCATATATGTTCTACTAGGATGAAAAGGTTCTACAGCAGATATATGTTCTACCGGGATGGAAAGGTTCTACAGCAGATGGCAGAGTGTTAAAGGATACCATTACATGTAGGAATGGATTGAAGATCCCACAAAGTATTATTTTTATTATGTTCGTGTAATGTTAATAACGAAACACCTTATTTTCATATTATTAATGTTGTTAAGCGTTCTAATAGGTAATTACTATTTGTGTGATACCAGATACACAAATGAGGAAAGATTTTTGACACTTTATAGAGGTCAACGATACTATCTTAGTGACTGGAGGGCAAGATTCCAATCGTCGAATCCACATAATATTTCAATATGAAACATTCTCAAACAAGAAATTGTATCGAGAGATGTTTTGATTTATTGAAAGTTGGATGGGCAATTTTAAAAGAAAAGTCATTTTATTCAATTAAGACACAGTGTAAAATAATTTTTGCTTGTTGCCTTCTTTATAATTTTATTAACTTTGAGATGATTTTTGACCCTATTGAAGGGCATATTGCTGAATGAAGTATTTTCTAACTAGATGAATCTGAACATCAAGATTTGATTATGCATGTTGAGCATCTGATTGTTGGACTCAGTTTAGAGATAATCTAGCTAATAAGATATTCATCCATTGGTTACAATCCTAAGGATAATAACATTATAGATATGTTTTGTATTCTATTATTTGTTTCCCTCATGATTTTTATTGTATGTATCATATGGTTGAGTGTAGAATTTGCTTTATATCAATGTTGAATATATGTTTACAATAAGGCATTCTTGAGTGTCTAATAATATTAAATTTTGAAGTACACATTTTTTTGCTTTCTTTTCATGTGTATTTGTTTATTTCATTCTCTTGATTTTTTTTATTTATTATATTGATATTGTTTCATAATGTTTAACCTTGTGATTAGAAATTGAACATATCTTCATTGCATGTCAATCTATCTCAATCTGTTCGAGGCATATTCTGAAAAAGATTGGACAGTTTGGGCATTGGTAACCATTTATGAGCTCGAGAGGAAGATTCCAATTTGGTTTAATGTTTACACTCGACTGAAGATTCTAGATGGAGAGCGGATAATGGGATATTTCATGTTAGATATCTATGTTATATTGAACAAATACTAAAGCAACTCATTCTTACTTTACAACTTAAAACTATCCCCTTATCGAATCCAAGGTTAAGTTGCTTAAAAGACAATATCACGTAATTTGTTATATGAAAAATTCTAGCGAATTTGGGTGAAATGATCAAGAAAAATATATCACAACTAAGAAAAAAGTATTTGATGAGTGAGTATGAATAAGTTTTTTAAGATTATATTATGGCTTATCTATCTTTTTTATGATTTTTTTATGGGTTTCATTTGATTCGTATTTGCTTTAATTTATGCCAATCACACCTACATTTAAAAGGTTAAAAAACAAATCTTTTTCATTTTTTGATGATTTTAAAGTGATTGGGATCTTATAAAGCAATCAGTCAACGAGCTGAAATAGCAATCGATGTGGTTAAATTATTCAATGTCAAAGAGGATGCTTATTTCTCTTATGAGTTTGATATCAATGTTGAAGGAAATGCAAAGAGATGAGACAATAATGAAGAAATTGGTTTTGCTATTCCAAGCAATGCTAGGACGACGTTGTTAGGTAAAAAGTGTTCAAGAGCGAAGATGGACCAATCGTTAAGTTGGTGCATCATATTGTCAATATTGGTGCTTCATATAATAGGGCTGTGAATGTGATGGAGGGTATTTCAGCTTACTTTCAAACATAAGTAAAAAATATGGATAGAAGAAAATCACTTTTCAATGAAATAATGCAATTCGAAGAATTCACGTCTAATGAAATACTTGTTGGTGGTGAGTATATATTGAAAAAAAATCACAAAGTTGAGTTTTTCTTTACATTGTCAGCTATATTGAAAAGTAATTACGTTAGGAAACAGTTAAATGAATGTAATACATATCGACCATCATTTGACTTTTCTCTTCTAAAACACATATAGATCGCATTACATTTTATATACAGATTCATTGTATAATTTTGTAAACCTATTTATTTAATTAAGGCAAAAAGAGAAATATTGTAAATATGCAAATTATGTGGCACGTTAAACATAGGTTTATTTATAACGGATATTATACTTGTATGAATCAAATATATATTTGTAATACTATGAATTTTATTTTTGTATTTAAATTACGAACGTTATAATACTTCAATATTATGCCACAATTTGAATTTATAACTGATAACATTGACGTATAAAAATACTTTTTACAAATTGGTGTTTATCGTTGTATATGTCTTTATATAATGTGATTGATAAACAAATATATATATCAATAATAATAAATTAATACTCCAATCAAAAATTAAAAAAATCCAACTAACATGCCTTTGCAAAAAAATTAGAATCAATGTAATGCATATATTTACAGCCAATCAACATTCTCCAACCTCAAGGTATAGCAAATGATAAAACATAGTCAGACCACTCTTTATGGACTTTATCATATTCATCTTTCATGAAAGCTTCCTTTACTCCCTTACTATAAACTAAAAATCAGAAGTCAATGTTATTAAACGAGTACAAAGTTTAGCTTTTTTTATTGGAAGATATTCTTATTGTATGAAATTAATGCTAACCTTGAATAATGTGCTCAAAAAATCATATAAAACTATCTTCATCATAAAATGAAAGACATAATATCCACATTTGGTAACCCCGAGTTGATGATGTATTTGAAAAATAGAATTTAATGGGTTTAGGAAACATTTATCTAAACAAACTCAGTATAAAAAAAAATATTTCACATTTACTGATAATAACACCCAATTTATCTTTCTTTTCTTATCAATTACAACCGTTCCCTTAAATTGAATAGAAAAACAATAGTAAATGCAAAAATAAAAGTAATTATGAAGAAACACAATATAATCTAATTATCTCTTATTAATAACATGTAATACCTCTTTATTAAATTATTAATATCAAGGTTAGGCATCGTATTGGTTTAGCAGAGTTAAATAAGTATGACGTCTAGGAATTGGTATCAATTGCAATAAGCTACCAATGATACTTGCAAAATAATAGGCATGATATACAAATATTAGACATCATCTTAGATATCATAAAAGTTGGAATTTTAGTTGTACGAATAAATCTTATACAACATTATAAGGCACCAGAAAATAATTAGCCCATTTTTGCATGTACTGACCCACATGACGATCATGAATAATGACAATGTCACTCTCTTGACTAATTACATTTGGGTAAACGAATCTGAATCTATGTGTCATTTGTCTTGTCTTGATCTCTCTATATAGACATCATCTTAGATGTTATAAAGGTTGGAATTTTAGTTGTACGAATAAAACTTACACAACATTATAAAGCATCAGAAAATAATCAGTCCATTTTAGCATGCATTGACCTACATGACAATCACTAATAACGACAATGCCACTATTTTGACAAATCACATTTGGGTTAACGAATCTAAATCTATGGGTCATTTGTCTCGCCTTAATCTCTCTATATAAAAACTGCATGATAACACTCAATAGTACCAGTTAATAATAGTACCAGTTAATAATACACCCTAATATGACTTATAATAGATATTAACTTTGAATATTTAAATTAATTAATGAGTTAACCTCATATAAGCAATAATATTATAAGCTGATAAACAAGTGTGTGAATACTTACAAGATTATGTTTGACATTTGCATAATTTTTTCGATGTTTAATGGTGATATACTTATTTTGCCCGAATGTTCAATTGTTGTTCTTTGATTTTTTGAAAAAAAAAAGAATAAGGTAAATCACATATTAAGATATCAAATATATTACACAAAATATTATAAATAATTAATATAATGGGTATGCATATAAAAAATTCTTTTGATAGACAATCTCAAACAAAATGCGTCCATTCTTGATAATTGATAACATTTGCATATGACGATGGAGGATTAGTCAACAAATCACTATTATCAGCGAAGTAAAATATATTAAGTTGTCAATATGCTTTTAAAAGTTTTTGAATGTTTTCCTAGTTAATTGTAACACAAGCTTTTTTATACTTATTTGAGACGTCAAACTGTTCCTAATAAATTTAAAACAATTAGTATGAACACATTATTTCAATTAAAATTCCAAATTAACAAGTTTTTTGGTATTGTTGAATAAACATACCATAAACCAACTTTCATATATGATCCTTTTTATCATCAGAAACTCATCACTATTTATGGTATGTAATAGAAATACTACTACGAACAATTGCTCCAATGTGATTAGCCAACTTGGCAGTTTCATCCAACACAAGCTGCCTATTTTGATTAAAGTCGACATGAATTTTTGTGTTAGTCGCTTTAATTTGTTTACCACATCCCTTTGCTTTTTTTTTTTTCATTACGGGTTTGTCTTTTTTATGTTTAGTAGCAGGAGACATGTTTTTCAAATTTTATAATACTTGCGATTTTGATCATAATTATATGAAATACACCAAACTATTTTTCTAAATATCACATAGTAAACAACCAATATCCATCACAGTTACTAGACCAATATACATAAACATCCTACAACCAATAATATTTTATATGTACAAGTCATACTGTGATTCCCATCTTAAATAAAAGTTCTATGCAAAATAAATGATGAGTACAAATATAACAACTAATTTCTACAAAAACATCTAAACAAACCACAATACTTAAACCAAACAATGAAGAAATACCATACATGAAATGAAAGGAGGTTGGACCACGTAGGTGACGATGGAATATGCATAAAAATACAAATATATATATATATATAGTAAGGAAAAAATACTTATATCAAAGAATATAAATGGTACAAAAAAAATACGTACATACCAGTAAAAAAGAGGTGCGATAGTGTTGAGTGATTGACGAACGACAATGATTAGAGAGATGAAGAAACCAAAAGGCAAACTAAATGGGTTGATAGTTTAAGGGTTTACACGTAATACACCTTTTTATCGTTCATTATATTAGCCATTTGGTTTTTAAGGTTCAATAACGGGGAATGAACCTTTGAAAATGATCATTTAAGGTGTTGGTTTATAGAAAAACCTTAAATGATCCATTTATATTTTAATAAAATGATTATTTAAGGTGTTTTTGTATGGATAACGCCTTAAATAATTCTTTTATATTTTGATAAATGGAGTATTCAAGGCATTCAGAAACGCCTTAAATAATCCATTTATAAAAATATAAAAGGATTAATTAAGTCATTTTTTAACTAGAAATATCATAAATAATCCCTTACAAAAAATATTATAGGATTATTTAAGGCGTTTCTGGTTGGAAAACACCTTAAATAATCATTTTTTAAAAAATATAATAGGATTATTTAAGGCATTTTTCGTTATGCCTTAAATAATCCCCTTTAAAAAATATCATAAGATTATTTAAGGCATTTCTGATTAGAATTTAAATAATCTCCTTTAAAAAAATATAATATGATTATTTAAGATGTTTTCCAACCAGAAACATCTTAAATAATTCATTTAAAAAAATAGAATAGGATTATTTAAAGCATTTTTATTGAAAAATGCCTAAACTAATCCCTTTTAAAAAAATATAACATAATTATTTAAGACATTTTTTCACTAGAAATGCTTTAAATAATCTTTAATAAAAAAATAGAATAAGATTATTTAAGGGGTTTCTAATTCAAAAATGCTATTGTTTATGGCATTTTTCAACTAGAAATGCTTTAAATAATTCCTAATAAAAAATATAG